GTTCAATTCGCAGTGAAGGGAATTTGGTTAGGGTGTAGTAACAGTGCTATGGTATGCTAGGGGTTACGCGTTTCTGCTCGGACTTGAAATTATCTGAACACCAGGGATAAAAAAAAAAAAAAAATTCTCTCATGTTCACTGGTTACAAGAGGCTAGGCAGACACCTTCTCCATGCTATCATAACCAATTTGTACACACTTCTCAACCATTTTGATCCATGTGTTGAAACAGGCCTTGAAATGTGCTGTTTTTAAAATTTAAAACCTCTCACAGAACAACAGCAGCTGATTTATTTATGATATTCAATCGAAGTGTGGTGGAATAGTTTAATTTTATTCAAGAACTTATTAAAAGCCCCATTCGACTGAATTCCATGTCGTCACGAATGCTGTCTAGCCAAGATCTACTTACCCGCATTTTAGAAAATTTCTCTTTCTGACGGCGGTGGAAATTACTCGAGGGAATCAAGGAAAGTTACGACACAATGATTTCACTTGGCAGGAAAAACTTGGAGATGTAGTGTGAAATCGATACCGAATAGAAGAGCATGCTTTTATCGTGATTAGAGTTCCGGTTGATTAAGCTGGTAATTCGAGATTTATGAGGACTGGGATACTGTGGGCTATTATTGTACTGTACTTTTCACCAAAACACTATACGAAGACGATGATGAAAACACGTTAAATTTTGAAGAATTTGGTGATATGAAGAAATTACATTTTTATACTGAACAGCGTTTAATACATTTAGTGAACTTTAATTCAAATTCATTGTCTGGAATCCAAAACTTAATTCCAAGACATTTTTTAGTTTTTTGACGCCTGAATAAGCTATTCTCAACTCGAATAAAAACTGAAACATCTAGCAGCAATTTTTTCACTGAACACAAATGAGTTTACCGAACAATATTCTCTCAAGTACAGTACTGTTCTCAACATTTATAAGTATTTAAACAATTAGTTGAATTATTTCCATCTGACAAACATCAAGTGATTTACAGCTTGAAAGCATGTAATCAGGAAAATTTGTTGCCCAAGACCCGAATGTACTTTTGATTCAATGGATTGATTTTTGTTTACAGAGAATCTATTCAAAAAAAGAAAAAGAAATTTAATGTATTTTGTTTCCCCGCACTTGAAATTTTAAAGTAAAAAAAGGCAAGGTATCAGCTACCGAAATTATTTTTCAGGGATGAAGTCTTTTTTTAATTTAAAAAAATTGATGCTGAAATATAAGGAACGCAGAGCATTATACTTCTGCCAAAAATAATTCTAAGAAATTGCATGTCCTCTGTCTAATGCGGAGACTTCATAAGATCCCCTCATAGTGTCTTAACACACTGATTTCAATTCCCCGTTCCAGGGGGTGCCAAGAGCTACGGTATTCGGAAATGCGGTTGCGTAATTGACGTTCGTTAATTAGAATCAATTTACCATGAGGAAGAAGCCGTTTTCGCCATTACTCAGCGTTTCGATAGCTGCAATGGTCATTTGCTCAAGACTCGGTTGAGCATCGGGTTTCTTCCGCCTGCGCTCATCAGCCGCGTCCGTCTCGTATTTCAAATGTGACGAAGCGAACAAGCCTGAAAGAAAATAATTAGAGAAAAACAAAAACAAATGTGAAATCCACTTTCATTGCGTCAGAAATGCGGTGACTTCAGCCTCTCGCTCTTCTCTCTCTCATCTACGTGGCCGCGAAATTGCGCATCGTTATTTTTTTTTGAAGATATTATTTTTTCTTTTCCTTTTGTTTCATTGTACCCAGGAGATAATCTGGTTTCTGGTTGAGAGCGAGGCCGTTCAGCCGCGGGAAGTACCGATGCCGCTTAAAAACAGACGCTGGAAGAGCGAGCGCCTGGGTTCGACACTGCTCTAAGTACAGCAGTTAAGCTAGCGAGAACAACATTCTGCTAAAGCCGTACAGTTTTGACTGACCGCCACCCATGATCACCTGCAAACAAGTTTTTTGTCCTCTCGATATATTACAACGTCACTTCAAAGATGGAAAAATATTGTTAGTGAATGATACTGTCTTTGATTCCCATTCCAGATTGTTATTTTGGCTGCCCTGTTACTCGAATATATAATTAAGGTAGGAAGGACAATTTTAAACAAAACTTCAGTTCTTTGAAGTTGTTTGCTTAAATTCAAGAAATACTGCTGTTTATAATTTAAAAAAGAAAAATATTCTGCACAGCGAGAAAACGTAGCCTGACTTTTCCTGTACTTTTTGAAAGGTTAGACTCCTTGAAACCGTCGAACTTATAATTATAAAACACAACTTGGGATTTTTTTCAAAATTCTTTTGTAAGATCAAACAATATTTCAAGTTTATTTCTCTATGTTGCTATTTGAAAATTGGTCAACTTTATCGTGGTCCACTCGGCACACGATTCTCGCAATTCACAGAACTTTGGTACTCCCTGAAGCAAAAAAGTATACCGGCATAATTGCAGAAAATTCGAAGTCAGCTCAAGTTCAATAACTTTAGGCCATTAAATTCACCGGTCAATTTAAGGAACCGTAATGAGATACGTTCCCTGATATTTTTCTGCGTTTTTTTGTGCAAAATAAATTGTTTTTTACAGATTTTAATACAATTACAGCGTTTGTCTCACATTAAAATCTTTGCCTGGCGTGTCTTCCACCAGCTGTCGTGCAATATCTTTGCAATGTCGTTGAAGTTCCGGAATATCTTTGTCAGTTTCCCATTCCCGGTTGGGTGAGTGGGCATAGAGCGCAGCTGGTGTCGCATGGGTCACCGACGTCGTCGTCACGAACCCTACATACAAAAAGGTAAATATGTTGATGAATGTTGATTTCCCCGGTGTTGATCGCGAAGGTCTCGATTCGCTCGCCTTGATGAACTGATTTGTACTTGAGCGACCGCGTAATGAGGAAACGTAACGACTGATTTAATTTTTTGCATCATGCATGGGATTAATTCTAGCTCGATGATGATGATGCGGACGAGAAAAATATTTGCGATCAAGGGTGTTTACCTGTTCGCATTCCGGCTTTTTGAGCAGCTTCTGCGATGGAATGCGGCCATTTTGCGCGGAATTTCAGCAGAGAATCACAGTCATCTTTCACAACGTTTCGATCCACGCCTAAAGTTTTGAACGGTGCTTTGACTCCGTGGAAAAGCGCAGTTGCTGAACAGGCTGAATCTGCGACTTGACTGTCAACACAGTACGTCTGCTCTTCAGAAAAAGAGAAACCATATGAATGAGAGATGTTTTCTGAAAACGATCAAAAGAAAATTAAAGTTTCGGTTCAAAGGATGGAAAAGGGTGTTTTTTAAAGGAAAACATTCATGGAATGAGAAAGCAATAGAAACATGGTTACCTAAATTGAAGCAGCTGAAGAAGAATAGAACTGCAGATTTCTAGTTACGTGATAGTTCTCAATACTAATAAATGACCTCCATCAGCTGTTTTCACGTTTACTTCGACAGGATGATTCAAATAATTCGTATGTACAGTAACCCGGTATTGAACAAAAATTTCAGAAAACCGTACCGTTTTTGGGTTAGAATCCTCAAATTGATATACTGTAGGGCCAATAGTGAGACTAGAAGTGAGGCTATCTTCATCATTTGCGGAAATTTCATTTACTGTAATCTCATCTTCAAGTAAGAAACTTCTTTCACAATTAACGGTATTAATTTCATAAACATCTACATCATCCACATTACAGCAAATTGTTTCTTCCAGACTCAGAGTACGCCGAATTAATATGGATTAATTTTTATCAATTATAGCACTGCATCGCATTTGTGCCGAAATTTTCAACCAACCTCTCTTTGTTGTTGAACGGGAATTAATAGACCCATTTATAAAGTCCTAATTAAAAATACATATTAAAATATGTACGCGGATTATTTTCCGGAAGCCTCGGTATGAAAATGAAATGTGAATTCATGGATGGGAATAATCTACAGTAGTTTCGAAATTCCGGTGGGGGAGGGGGGAATTTTTAAAATAACGATTAAACTCATAGTTTTTCCAAGAACAATATTCAAAATATTACACCCATCTTCAATCAGCGAAATTAATAAAAAAAAGATATGGACCGACGGATAATTCCTTATAGAAACATGCATTTATGTACTTCCGGTAAGAAATTCCTTCGAAGTGGAATAGGAAGAAATATCCGGAGATTCATTTCCAGAATTTCCCATCGATATGAAAATGAAGTAGGAGTTCGCGGGGTCGTAATACAGTCATATACCGAAGAGATTTCAAAGTGAAGGAATCTTTCAAGCATATTTCTATGTTTTCTATCGTATTTTTTTATAGAAATAAATGTTGATTCTTCTTAATTGATGAAGGGCGTACAAAAATGATACACGTAATCCCACACCCACGATCAAGGAAATACACGAATGGTAAGAATATTTTCTTGAGAATGACATGAACACCGTATAGGAATACTACCGGTAATCCATTTCCACGCGTCAAAATACTGTATACACAAGTACAAAATACAGGGAAATATGTGAAACTCAATTTCCAGAGCTCCTTTCGGTATGAAAATGAAGTGGGAGGAGTTCAGTATGAAAAAAAAAAGAATTGGATACTCCAGTGAGGGGAAATCTTCCAAACTAGATCAACTCATTATAGAAGTGCAAAACTTTTCTATATTGATGAGGAAATATGAAAAAAAACTTGAGCCCATTTTCCCACATTCACAAAGGAAATATACATCGACTCTCCCGATATGCAACACAATTCAAGGAACCAAAAGAAATTCGTCGTAGAGAAACCTAATACGTAATATATACTGTACTTGGGAAGAGCAATGGAACCAAAATACAAATCTTGATACAGAGAAAAAATGTTGCAGAAAGATAGTCCACCCGTGTATATAGATGGGTGAATTATTTTCTTGAAACCACATAAAAGGTAAAACAGCACCGCGGTAACCCATTTCCTTTTGACAGAATAAAAAAAGTAAAATAGTAGGAAATACCCGGAGCTTAATTTCCAGAGCTCATCCCTTTGGTATGAAAATGAAGTGAGATGAGTTCAGGATATAAATAATCTGACCTTGGAGATTCCAGTGTGAGGAAATCTGTGAAACTCTTTCTAAAAATACCATAAAATCTTTCTTAAATCATAGAGAATGTAAAAAAGCGGATTCCCACTTTACCACATTCACGAAGAAAATACACTGTGACTCTCTCTACAGCATCGAAATTCAAGGAACCAGAAGAAATTATAATACACACTGTACATGGGAGAGAACCCTATGCAACCTATGGGACCACAAAAAAACATTTATACTGTACAGCGAAAAACGTTGTAGAAAGAAAGTCCAGAGTTGAGTTGAGGATGGTAATAATCTACTTTGGAAATTACAGTGAGGGGAAATCTTTCAAACTCGATCATCTCTTTATAAAAATAAAAGACTTTTCTCAATTCATGAAGAATGTGAAACGTGATGTTCATCTTCATCTCACATTCACAAAGGAAGTACACATGGACTCTCTCCACAACGAAATTCGAGGAACCAGGATGCCATATGAAGAAATTCATTGCAGAGAAACCTTATAATATACTTGCGGAAAGAACCCATTATGATGGGACCACAGAAAAATCTTTATGCAGAGAAAACCATTGTAGAAAGAGAGTCCACCTGTGTATAGATGGGTAGATTATTTTCTTTGCAAAAAATCCACGAAAATAATACTCCGCTGTACAACCGGGGTAATCAATTTCCATCGAAAGTAACATATATGCGTACATAACAGGAGGTTTATAATTTCCAGAGCTCATCCCTTTGTTGTGAAAATGAAGTGGGATGAATTGAGGATGGAAACGATCTACCTTGGAAATTACAGTGAGGGGAGATTCTCAATTCAAGAAGAATAAGAAACATGATGTTCATCTTCCCACATTCACGAAGGAAGTACCAATGGACTCTCTCCACAACGAAATTCGAGGAACCAGAATGCAGATGAAGAAATTCATTGCAGAGAAACCTCATGATTATACATGTACATTCAGAGAAACCATTATGGAACCAGCACAGAAAAATCTTCATACAGAGAAAAACCGTTCTAGAAAGATGAGAGTACACCTGTGTATAGATTATTTTCTTTGAAATGAAAAGCAATACTCCGCTGTACTACCGGGGTAATCAATTTCCAACGAAAGCAACATATGCGTAAATAGCAGGAGATTTATAATTTCCAGAGGTGTGAAAGTGAAGCGGGGTTAGTTGAGGATGGAAAGAATCTAACCTTGGATATTCCAGTGTGAGGGAATCTTTCGAACTCGAGCATATCTTCTTCGCCTGGCTGACCTCGAAGCTGTCCTTTGAAGATCCGTGAAGCAACCGTGATCGGATTTCCCATCCCGTCGCCGACGAAGATAATTATGTTCTTCGCTCTCTGAGTGTTTATGGGCTTCACCAGGCTGCTGAGGATGTCTTCTCTCATTCTTCGAGTCCAGCCATCCGAGCTCTCTGGACAGATCAAATCGAAAATTTTCAAGATCAACGCATATTATAAGAATAATTTTATTGAATGGAAAGAATGCGTTTTTATTTTTAATTGATGAAGCTTGTACCGTATTTGACGTAGTAAAGTTAGATACTTCCACGCTTCAGTCTCTTCGCGGAACTAAATAGTGGGTGACAGTTTTTCAAACGGTTGCTTAATTTCTTTAAAACTTAGTCTTCTGCTGTAAGAAAGCATAACCATATGGAAATTATACACAAAAAATGGTCAAAATTTGTATCACTTCAATATATCCGTATGCATTCCCCTCTGAAAAGCTCAGAAGAAATTTTGCTGAAGTTGTCTCTCAAGTTGAATATTAATCCCAGGTACATTTAAAACGGCCACTTTGAAAATATAAAAGTGAAAATTATTTTTCTTGGAGGACTTCATGGAATTTAAAAAATATTTGAGTCGACTGTAAATTGTAATCAGATCGTAATTCAAAGTTTTCATTTCAGAAAAAGGCGGGCGACTCAATTTAAGAAACTCAGAATTCGGAAAGATTAGAAATCATTGGAAGGTTTCAAAATTTTTTCTTCTACGTGCAATTTTCAGATGGAATTATTTTAACCACACAACACAATCTTTCACGTTCCAGAATTGAGAATGCGTCTTTTCAGTAAGCATTATTTTTTTCATCATGAAGGAATGCAATTGCCGAGATGTAAAGATAATTGAACAAGAAGAACTTTAAGCAAGTATTATTCTGTAAAACTTAAAATACCGTATATCTGGTTTTATAGTACAGTACAGTATTTCATCTTGGTTTTCCAGAGAATATATTTCTTTATACCTTCGCCCTCGGAAATCGATTTTCCGATTTATTTTTGTCTATAGCTAGGCACTTGGAAGAAGAAACCTTGTTCAGTTCTGTTTTGTGATGTAAATGCAAATCGGTTTTTTTTTCGAGGCGCGAGGAATGTGTTGCGTCATTGTGCTCCGTTTATCCCTGAAGTATTGAAGCATAGAATCCTCGGGATCGGAAACAGGATTAATTTACATGCAGCTTGGATTCTGCTGAAGCGGGTTCATGGAACGATAACGGTTTCTTTTGACTGTTGCCCAACCATGACAAAGGTACACGGTGATTCACCTGCTACTGAACCCATAAAAACGAAAATAATTCAGGGAGTCGTTCGCATATGATCGTGCAATCGCTTTTTTTTCGGAAGAATAAAACCAGGCATTGAATAAAAATAAAACAATTCTTAGATAATTCAGAGAACCTATAATTGTTGCCATTTGAGGAAAACAATTTGGCTTCTTTGGAGCTACGCGTTAAGAACTCAAAATTGGCGTATCATCTGGGGGGAAATGATGGACCACTTCCGGTCAATGATTAATGTCTTTTCAAAATTATGACAACCAATTTCAGCCTCGGATTTGTCTTTTTTGAGTAGCAGTGATAGAATAAATTTGCACAGGCGAGGCCAAATATTTTCAATTTGCTTTTCCAGGAACCACGAGAAGATATTGAATTTATAAGTCAGGATTCTTTGCACTTCGTTTACATTAATGCAGATTCATTTGAATTCTAATTTCGTAGCAATATGTTCACAATTCACAGCAACAATCACGATTTTGTGTGCTATACTAAAATAGAAATTAAACCTTTTGAAGCTAATTCCGGCAGGAAANTCGAACATGGCATAAACTGCATCATTTCAATCTATGAAGGTGCGAAGTCAGAGAAGCGCCTTGATTTATCACCCACTGTCAAAAAGTTTGCCAACGAATTAAAGAAATTTTGAATCAGAAGACGACAGAGAAAGCATAACCATATGGAAATTATGCACAAAAAATGGTCAAAATTTGTATCACTTCAATATATCCGTATGCATTCCCCTCTGAAAAGCTCAGAAGAAATTTTGCTAAAGTTGTCTCTCAAGTTGAATATTAATTCCAGGTACATTTAAAACGGCCACTTGGAAAATATAAAAGGGAAAATTATTTTTCTTGGAGGACTTCATGGAATTTAAAAAATATTTGAGTCGACTGTAAATTGTAATCAGATCATAATTCAAAGTTTTCATTTCAGAAAAAGGCGGGTGACTCAATATAAGAAACTCAGAATTCGGAAAGATTAGAAATCATTGGAAGGTTTCAAAATTTTTTCTTCTACGTGCAATTTTCAGATGGAATTATTTTAACCACACAACACAATCTTTCACGTTCCAGAATTGAGAATGCGTCTTTTCAGTAAGCATTATTTTTTTCATCATGAAGGAATGCAATTGCCGAGATGTAAAGATAATTGAACAAGAAGAACTTTAAGCAAGTATTATTCTGTAAAACTTGAAATACCGTATATCTGGTTTTATAGTACAGTACAGTATTTCATCTTGGTTTTCCAGAGAATATATTTCTTTATACCTTCGCCCTCGGAAATCGATCTTCCGATTTATTTTTGTCTATAGCTAGGCACTTGGAAGAAGAAACCTTGTTCAGTTCTGTTTTGTGATGTAAATGCAAATCGGTTTTTTTTTTTCGAGGCGCGAGGAATGTGTTGCGTCATTGTGCTCCGTTTATCCCTGAAGTATTGAAGCATAGAATCCTCGGGATCGGAAACAGGATTAATTTACATATAGCTTGGGTTCTGCTGAAGCGGGTTCATGGAACGATAACGGTTTCTTTTGACTGTTGCCCAACCATGACACAGGTACACGGTGATTCACCTGCTACTGAACCCATAAAAACGGAAATAATTCAGGGAGTCGTTCGCATATGATCGTGCAATCGTTTTTTTCGGAAGAATAAAACCAGGCATTGAATAAAAATAAAACAATTCCTAGATAATTCAGAGAACCTAGAATTGTTGCCATTTGAGGAAAACAATTTGGCTTCTTTGGAGCTATGTGTTAAGAACTCAAGATTGGCGTATATCTGGGGGGAAATGATGGGCCACTTCCGGTCAATGATTGTACAGAAAAGTTTTAATACTGTTGGTTAAAGTCGGAGCCTAAACAGAAAAAACTCATCGTCACTATCTTATTTAAACGTGTCCGCTCCGGTTTATAAAAGTTAAACGAAAAGGTCCTTGGTGCTCTTGATATTGAATTTATAAGTCAGGATTCTTTGCACTTCGTTTACATTAATGCAGATTCATTTGAATTCTAATTTCGTAGCAATATGTTCACAATTCACAGCAACAATCACGATTTTGTGTGCTATACTAAAATAGAAATTAAACCTTTTGAAGCTAATTCCGGCAGGAAATCTACAAAATTTGTGCATTGTTTTCATCACGAAATTAATTTAGGATATATTTCTCTCCTGTTGATTCTACCGTCTGCTTTCTCCAGAGTCTGCCGAAATTCGTAGAACGAATCTTTTTGTTCCGACGCAAAATCAAGAATGGTCTTTCGCCATCGCGAGAATCGAGAAATCCAATACCTCATTACAAATAATAAATGTCACTTCCGTCAAACACAGCTTCGAACAAAGTTTCCCCTTCTTATAGCGAATATGGAGTACTTTTGAATAAAGATGTTTTCCATTCAAAAGTCACCATTCCATTACAAGAAACACATTTGTATTTCACGTGAAGGCGCTAGATCTCCGGTTTCAGTCCAAGGGTAAAAGAAACTTTAATCCACCAAATTTATTTATTTTTTTCCTTGTCTTCAAAGGACGTTCGGCTTGGCTCTTAAAGGCTTCGAAAACAGTACTAATAAATTAGAAATGTTCTGCTCAACTCCACTTCCTGGTATTGCAAGTTAAACATAATTTGCTATCCGTTTTACACTTACACTCGAAATGGTTCTCCGAGTTTCGGAGGTTTTAGCCGACGTCATATTTCTTGTGAAAAAAATGAAATGAACAGACATTCATTAGACGTGTAAATTAAAATTTTGATCCATTAAAACACTGAAAATCTCATACTTTGATAGTAATTGAAGTTTAAATCAGAATTTAATTTTCGACGGATAACTTACGTGAGAATTTGTAGGAGAATTCAAATTCAACGAAAACTTAATCTTTATTTTCATCCACTTGAACTTCTGCAAATCTTTGAGTGAAAATGATTTCAGGCTGCTGTTTTTTTAGTGACTGAAATAATTTTCCGTTAAAATTCGGTTTTTATTTCAACTGGAAAATAATCTTATAAAAAATTGTAACTAGGACAAAAAATGGAAAAATAATTAGGCATTTATTGAACACGTTAGGTTCAAGGTACCTCTCTACAGTGTGAAATCCCGCCATTTCTGGAGTCATCACCTCGACTCAACTCAGAAGAAGTCTAAATCTGTCGTAAGTTGCATAAATCACAGTAAATGTGCATCCATTATCATAAATCCGAACTTGAGAAAGAGGAGATCCTCACGCATTTTCTCTCCAAGGTCGACGCCCGTCTTCGACGAGCATCGACCTCAGCGATCCCTCCATGAACTTTTTTCTGGACACTTCCGCGATCTAGAGGCCAAAGTCAGGTTCCCATTTTCTTTGAAATTAGGTGGTTTAAATAAATAAAAAAAGGAACAGAAGTTTCCTGCAAGCCGAACCGAGAATTTCCGAAGCTTTTGTCATGCAATAAATTAGAAATGTCCTGCTCAACTCCACTTCCTGGTATTGCAAGTTAAACATGATTTGCTATCCGTTTTACACTTACACTCGAAATGGTTCTCCGAGTTTCGGAGGTTTTAGCCGACGTCATATTTCTTGTGAAAAAAAATAAATGAACAGACATTCATTAGACGTGTAAATTAAAATTTTGATCCATTAAAACACTGAAAATCTCATATTTTGATAGTAATTTAATTTTGAATCAGAATTTAATTTTCGACGGATAACTTACGTGAGAATTTGAAGGAGAATTCAAATTTTACGAAAACTTGGTCCTTATTTTCATCCACTTGACCTTCTGCAAATCTTTGAGTGAAAATGATTTCAGGCTGCTGTTTTTTTTAGTCTGATGTCATTTTCTGTAAAAATTTGGTTTTTATTTCAACTGGGAAGCAATGTTTTCAAAAATTGTAACTAGGACAAAAAATGGAAAAATAATTAGGCAATTATTGAACACGTTAGGTTCAAGGTACCTCTCTACAGTGTGAAATCCCGCCATTTCTGGAGTCATCACCTCGACTCAACTCAGAAGAAGTCTAAATCTGTCGTAAGTTGCATAAATCACAGTGAATGTGCATCCATTATCATAAATCCGAACTTGAGAAAGAGGAGATCCTCACGCATTTTCTCTCCAAGGTCGACGCCCGTCTTCGACGAGCATCGACCTCAGCGATCCCTCCATGAACTTTTTTCTGGATTTCATGTTTTTCCTCGACCCGAGGAAAAAACACCGGAAAAGAGTCGGAAGTGAATTTGGCACATCACAGCTTTTTCTGGTTAAAAATTAAATCGATTCGAAGTGAATTTGGAACATCATCAGCGCTTTTTTGTTGTTGTTGCTGGTTTAAATGCAAAGCGGGACTTACTTATGAATGCGTTTCTGATGGGAGATCACTGAACTTTTGATCTTGCTGCGTGTCGAGTTCGGAACGTCTGACGCACAAATTTGGCATAATGCTTTTTGCGAAAGAAGTTCTGTATACCGGCATTCCCGAGACGCGAAAGGATATTTCTGCTGTTCGTCCGCAGGGACTTTGTTGTCACGGTCAAGTCGGGTCAACAATCTTTCATTCTGTTTTATGTGTGCAGTTTTCTCAGCACGCTGATGATGGTAGATAAAACACCGCGTGAGAATATTTTTTCCGCGAATAATCGATCCAATTCAAGTGTAGCGTAACTGAATTTAGCATGGTAAAATCGTTCAATTTCAAAAATAATTTTAAAACAAAAAAGGCATTCAATTAACCTCGCTGATCTCGTACCTGATGCTTTCCGCGTTGAAAAATTGTTTTCTATGTACAGTATTTTCTTCTACCGTTTTCGGGAGAAACGCATAAATTGTGGCTATCAAGCTCGGGGAAATAACTTATTCTGCCAATGTGGAGAATTTCGGAAACGTTTTTGCTTTTAAAAATTTTTTTTTTAAGATTGTTACGTGACAACTTTCCTCCAAGGGGCACTGGAAATTTTGAAAATAATTTGCATAAATCCGCAAAGAATTACAGTGATTTATTGTTCTACAGAACTGAATTCCCACGAACCTGCAAATTGTTTGCGAAGATTTTTTTTAATTTCAACCGAGTGATTGAATTATTCGCAGTTCCATTTACAGATACTGCATTAGCACAAATACTGTAAGTACACGAATATAATACCGTGATCAATGTTCTGAAAATGAGCCAAAATCACTTCGACTGAATTCAGTATACAGTACACTTTTATTCAAAGGAATTATTTCCGGTTGCCTTTGAAGTAAGCTGCTGAGTCCTATTATTATTCTCTCACGGCGTGAGCGCTAATTAATCTGAAACTAATAATTAATTAATCACCTAATAATAAAATCAGCTTTCTATATTCGGATTAATGAGTTGTATTCCTTTCATGCCCCATACACTCAGAATAACCTACGTCCACTTTTTAAAATACAGTAAAACATAAATGTAGGCCCGTATCTTTACAGAAACAGTTAGGGAATTCTGAATTCATTGGATATTGTGGAATAACCAAAATGCAAGTGCACTTAACCTGTAGGAAAATAATCAGGTTTGTTTTGCGTTGCATGCTGAACAAGGGACTTCGTTCAAATCCTCCGGGTTGGAACCCGAGCATATTTCACGTGCCTGCGCATTTGGATATTCCCTTGGGAGTCGAGATGTACAACGAAACATTTGTTACTCAAGTCAGCTTTTAGAGAAAAACAAAAACAAAGCTAGGAATTGAGGTTACATTACTTTCCCTTGTTCTTCTGAATACACTCTGTTCGTGTTTTGAATGAGTTGACACATTTTGTTGTTGGATAAAACACTTGTATTTTTCGATTAAAATTACACGTGACGAACGGATTATGGCATCGCAGTGTCGAATTTTTAAAGTATATTTTCATGTACACAGATGGCGACGAAGTTGTGTATTATGAAGCCACATTTATTTTTTTCGGCATCGAAAAGTCTTGGCATTGCGTTTATCGAAGGAAGAAAAAACTAAAACGTAAATTGTTTAAAATGCAATTGTACATCACTTTATACTAGAAATTTTACGTCATTAAATAATGGTGCGCCCGTGAACAGCTCGTGGCAAGACAAAAAAGCTTTTTCGACAATAAAGAAAATTACCATACTGTATTTGAATTAGGCTAAGTTAATCGCAAGATGCAAGCAGTGCGTTTTTGAACGAAAAATTATTGATAATAGATGAAACGAATTGAATGATCTAAAAAACGACGATTTACGCGTGTTCAAATAAGAAAAATAGGAATTAAAAATTATGGAATCCTCGGGAAAAAAATATTCGAATGACTCTTTGTTGCGTTTATACCGGTAATAGAGATTAGATTACAGTAATATAGAAATGATTGGAATTGTACTGGGAATCGCCTTATGAAAATCCAATTTCTCTCAGCTATGTGCCGAAGAGCCGTTTGTGTTGGAATGAAATCAGAATTTTTCGTTAAATCAAAAGTTCCCCTTTTTTCACGGTAAGCTTTAAAATTCCATTCATTTTATCAAAGTTTCCTGAAATATTCACGTAACGGGTAATGAGGTGTCGTCACCATCGTCAGATTGGCATTTTCTCGTACTTTTATAAAATTACATATTACTTTTTTGTACTTTTTCATTTATTTTTTTCTGCTGTTTTGAAGCGCGTGAATTGTATCAGCACCCGTTGTCTACTTTCTCAAAAATATGTCACTTCCTGGTTCTTTTGACTGACCGTGCAAAATTTCGAAATCCGTATGAGGTATGGAGAAATACTCGAGTATATTGGTTATCTCACCTTCGAAGTCGGCATTATACGGAATTTTCGGCACAGATTGTTCCGGTGTCTCTTTTTCGCTCGCAATGACTTGAATGCATAAAAAATCTGGTGTTTCCGTGTTCACCCTTAGCTGCGACGCTTTTTCGTACGGACTATAAAATCGTGCAACAGTGACGTGAACGTTTGAAGTGGCTTTTAGGCATGAGACATCTACTTTGCCTTTTTTTAAAGCATTCGAAAATCCGATAATCGTATTGGATATTTCCAAGAGGAAATCAAGTGCTGGAGGAAATTGGATCCACTTCTAAAATTTTTCCTTTACATTCGATGAAAAAATTCAAATTTCAACGTCGCGATTTTCTTGGACTTTCGAAAAAAAATATTACCGCATTTCCCACAAACTGGCATTTTGCAAACTTGAAGATTCTTTTAAATAAGTTTTTCTCAATTGTTTTCATTCAAGTTTTACTTCCTGTTCTTTCAGAATTTCGAAATACTGAATCTCAAGACTGACGTAATGCACCTTTTTGCACTTCCAACCAGCAGAACGTTACTTTTTGCCAGTGCGACTCAGAAATTGAGTGAAAGGAAAAGACACAGCTTCATTTCATGAGAAATTCTTCCTTGTTTGAAATAATTCTGGACAACGTGAGAAGATCGTCTTTTCACACAATTCCTCAAGTGGGAGAAACATTTTTTGGTGCGAAATTATTCCCACGTTCCGAAAAGGATTCACTGCACGCACGCTAAAAAGTGCGACTTGCGCAGGGGATATTTTCGCGGTTGAATTCACGGGATGAACACTTGATGAGGGACAGAAATGCTGTATTTATTCAATTCATGTGGGCCCCACAAAAAAAGGGAAAAAAAACAAGTATGGCCTATCCCGCAAAAATTCGACCGTTGGTCAGTTTCACCGAAAATTTGCGAGAAAAACAGCGATCATGTTCCATCCTTTCTCACACACAAAATGCAAAACTGTGTTGGAAGGAAAAGTATTAAAGTAATTCCCACTTCTCAGTAAATTGGGAATTCTGGGTGGTTTCTCTTCGTGGAAAATCGGAAGGTTTTATCCCTGGGGACCTTTTTATTTTCCGTGGCTTGCGTTATTTTTTTTTTGCACGATAACCCCCGCCGTTCTAAAAAAAATTATGGCACAGCATGAATCCGGTGTTTTCAATTTTTTTTTTTTTCAAGATTCACAAATCATCGAGGTCTTTGGTGGGCGAGAATGCACTTCCGAAGATAACTATTCGCGTACTGTGTGTATATCCCAGCACCAGACGTACACATCGAACGTTCTAATTATAACTCGATCCTCGCGAGGAGAATTGACAGGAAACGAAAAGCGAGTGAAGCAGACGTGTTCTGCAGATTCACCATGACGAAGAAGGAAAAACAAATGTCACTGAGAAACTTTTTTTTTTTCAAATTTGACCTTTTCCACTCTTTTTTTTATATTCATGTTTGTTGGAGCACCTGTGTGCGGGTGCGGGTCTGAGCTCAGCGTCCAAAGATCCGGGCCAGACTGCGCCAACTGCTCGGCGCCGAGTTTTTGTTTCGCTCGGGAGGAAAATCTCTTGAGCCGAGGCCGAAGTGAAGTGAGGCCGGGAATTATCATTCACTGGGCTAGTGTCTGACTAAATCACAGAAGAAGAGAGAAGAAAGAAAAAAAACGGTGGGCAACGCGTTTCTGGTTTTTTGCCCGCGGGCCAAATTCGGAGGCGCAGCAGTGTACTGAATTTTCCTTCCGGGTCGCACAAACTCTCACCTTGAGGCGTAGCATCAGAAGAGAAAGTACGGAAACAGCACGGATATTACGGAATTTGGTCTATTCTCTTATTCTATTCCTTCTTCGTCAATTAATCGTGTAAGAAAACAAATTTGCATAGGTCAGCGTGCTCATACACAATTTCCAAAATTTTTTCGGAGTATTTGAAGGAAACTTTTTCTTGGTATTATTTTCTACATTTGAGGCATGGGTTGCTTCGTAATGAAATAAAATTTTCATCGCGAGTGATAATTAACTGACTCTAATTTAATTTACTTATAGTCAAAGTGCTTGAGGTTTAGATTTAAGTTTGGAATTAGTATGCTAACTCAGATCAGGTACTATTACACTATACGATAGGTTAGTTGTGCATGTTGGGCTAAATTCAAGCTAAGTTAAATAGGTTGGACTATTATTTGACTTATTCTCTATCAAGTGAGGTGTTAGGCTAATCAAGTGCCTACAAGTTCTTTTTTGCACTACGTTTCCGACGCATTCTCATTTGTGCACTCGATAGCTGGTCTTATTGTGGCTTTGTCTACTTATTTATGAGAATACCCATCACTTGCAAGAGATTTGAAACCCTTGATAAAATGTTTCAAAATTGTGTGAGTTGCTTTCATTGACAAAATAAACCATGGCGGTTCATGTCAAAATCGAGAAAAATTCTTCGAAAAAATAAAACTGGGCTTACGAGATATTCAGCATGGTGGTGGGATTTTTCCTAGTTTTCTTTTAGGGATAATATATAGGGAAATACAGTATTAAAAAAATGATAATAAGAATTGCCTGATGAATGCGAAATAATCTGCGTTTTTTCAGCATCAATGTGAATTTATTCAAATATTTTATTATACATATATTGATTGACCTTTACCCTGCGAAAAAAGTTTTTGAAAAATTCTTCATTGCATTTAATTACAAAAAATTGCACTCTTCCAGAGATGTGTATATTCTGAGTAATTACGCCTAAATTTTGCTGCGGAAACCTTGCACATTCAGCGTTCGTCGGAAATCTTTTTTATTTATTTTTTAATAACATACCCTTTTTTCTGGGTTACCTTTGACCAGTGGAGGCAAAAAGGTTGCCCACCCCACGATTTCTCAAGCAGTCTTTGCTCTCTTGCTTCATGAGCTCATCCGACCGGGACGAAAAAAGCTTTTTCACATGCTTCCCAGTGGAGAAGGTGCGGTCATCATTTGCATCCTAACGGGAATTTAAAATAAGCTCTTCATCACGGTATCGGAATTTCTCAGCCATTTAAAATATCAGCTCAGCGAGGACAACAAATTAAAATTTTTTATTCAACCTTGAATTTATATTCCGATAGTTATTGCCTCTGATGTAAACGTGAGATGAAAAAATAATTATATGCACTGTACTGTAGTGCTGGATATTCTTTCCGATTTTTTTTTTCACGTTCAATTTGAGGAAAGTTAGAATTGCTGAATTTTTGTGATTTTTTAAACGGGAAAAATGTTTCGACCTTTCACAATGTTTTAATTCTTTTTACATATCATTTTTTGATTTTCATTTGCTACATGATTATAATTTATCATTCTTGTACGATATTCGCTCACCGTTAAAAAAATTGAATGTTCTTTTATATTATTGAATTTGAATATTATTCGGTTGCCTCCTCTCGTGATCTGTTTGAACGTACTTGAACTGAAAACAAATAATTGTATGATATGTATCTGATTTTTTCACGTCATATTTGGGAATGGCTAGACTCGAGAAAAGCAGGTTTTTCGGAATTATTTTTCCCTCGAAGGAATGAATTTTTTTTTTTTTACTTCCTCAATTTTCGCCTCAACTTCTCGGCGTTCCCATCATGAACACTTCACCATAGAGAATAGCTCGGTGGTTTCAGTACGATTCAAGTGTTTCTCACGCATTTTATGTTGTCAAAGTTCAGAGATTAATACGGCAGTTTATTGACTGAACTCGGTTAAGGTCGTGGAAACGTTCGTCGTCCTACGATTTCATCTGTCTTTGCTTGTTGAATTTAGTGGCTGTCTTCGATAAGCATCAGGTGTTTTCCCTCCCGACGTTTTTAAATTACTTCTCCAAGGATCGAATTTTCTTCTTTGCTTTTCCCTCTGTTTAACTGTGCTATAATCCCACAACTCACTTTTTGAAGTGGTCCACGACCACCTTGTCAAATAAATGCAGTGAGGTCGAAAACTTGGATACAGTGTGGACTCGGGTACTTCTTGGATATTAATTTTGTTTCTGAGAGGGCTTATTTTTTTGGAATTTCGTTCTTCTCCAAGCGTTTTAGAATTTACTTGAGCTGTATAGGTTGTTCTTTGGTATTGAACTGCTTTTCTCACAAAGTATTTTTTAAACTAGTTTCTTGATATTCAAGTGTGAAGTTTCGTGGAAATGATGTCCCTCGAAGATCAGATGTGAAATATTTCTAGGAAAGTGTGTCACTGAAATTATGATGAAGAGATTACGAATTCAGTAATGCATTTATACGCGAATTTGATTGTTTTATGTATTTTTTTGGTAAAAAGTTAGTTGCGCGTCATACGAAAGAACAATGATCGATTCCTTTTTCCGAACGATTTTCAATTTTGAAAAATTAGACTGCACAATAGCAGGATTTCGGAAACACGGAAATTGCATTGTATAGCACAGTACTCATTTATCGACTGCCATTTACTGCCATTCATTTAAAGCTATTCAAATGAAAATAGCCTAAATTATGGGTAGTGAAATTCTGGAAAAAATAACGTTGTTTCCCGTTCGATGAGCGAATTGAGCTCTATTGTATGATTACTTCTAGCCACTAGTCTTTAAAGTTCAGAAAGATGATTCTTACGCATTAAATCGTGAATGTTGTGCACAAACATTTTTCAAGGAAAAACTTGAAAAAATTGAATGATGTGATTCTTCTATGGGAAATTTGGAGACGTGTAATTTAATGGGACACTGTCACGAGAGGATTGTGGTTTCCAGATTATTATTCATTTTAATTTAAACGTAAAAAACAAAGGTCTGTACCAAAATTGGACGCAGAAAATCAAATCACAAATTGCTGCTGATGAAAAGACGATCTAAAAAAAATGAATGAATGACACGAGGATAGAAAAAAAACGGATGATTCGCGATTGATTCCGCAGAGCTGTTTTTCTGCACTCAAGTCGCAGTTGGTGGCCAGATTTTCTTGCGCAAATTCCGTTCCGGAAAAATAGATTCGTTTATGCTTTGTTTTTGTTTTTTTAATCGGAAAAGCTGCTGAAGCGAGATAATTTTTTTCCGTCTTTGACACCGATTCCCACAGAACTGTATGCACTTCGGTCTCTTTAGCTGATGATTGAC